ACACACACACACACACACACACACACACACACACACACACACACACACACACACACACACACACACACACACATGTCAGTGGCAGTCCTTCATTTAATAAATGGACAATGCATAAAAACAAATATTTAAATGGGAAGTGGTATGGTGAGAATAAGACAAACACTAATGGAAGATTTGTGTCACTTCTGGAATGTGAACAAACAAGATGTCTCTGTTTGATCTGTTGCTTTCATAAGTCGATTATTTTCTGTTTTTTTCCATCTACTATTCTGTTTTGCAATGCTTTTCAACTGAATCATTCCTACTTCTTCTCTGTCACCATTTGATGAATTGCAATGACATACGACATTTTATGCTTAACAAAACAAGAACAGATAAGAACAAACAAGAACAAGAACAGATTTGTGAAACAATCAATTTCACAAAGATTTACGATCACCTCAAAAACCATCACTATTATTTATCGTATAGGTGTTGTTCATATCACTTATCTAAACATTTCCGTCTTTTCTGACACTTTTAGCTTTTTTTCATAGCATTAATTTATTCGATCTAACGACAAAATTTTTTGTTCTATTTTTTACACTGAAAATGTTTCATGCATTTCGAAGAAGTCAATTTATTTAGGACCAGACAAATGTCAGAACATATACTGCCTATTTATCGTAAAGTAAATGAAAGCGCTAAAGTAAGTACTCGAAGGCGATAAATGCTTGCTTATCCTTTCGCAGAAGCAGTAAGCACTTACCGTTTTCGATTTGCCGGTCACCGTGAACCCCAATATTTGCAACATCGATGCTCACATTCCATTTCTATCTGTCCTATCATTTGGATCAATGTCAGTTTTTCTAATTGCTACAGTCGCTAATTAATGAATGGATGAATGAATGAACCTTTCAATACACGCACTCCAATTACATAACTAAAATATTGTAGAAGTGAAAAAAAAAGGAAAAAGAACTTTTTATTTTAAATGAAAAATGGAATGTTATAGAAAGAAACGTAAATGAAGCAGACTTTTCCCATTTGCTCGTTAAATGGAAGATTTATGAAGGAACATTTACACTCTATATACCTTTTGCATATACAATTGTAAAAGTGAACTGACAGGAACACAAACCTCATCCCTCAAAACTAGCTTTCCCATTACTCAATCACATATATTCATTGAAAAATAGTGAATTTTCAGTTCCTTATAGTCAACATTACTTTTAGTATGACAAATCCCAGTGAAAAAAAAAGGCTTGAGCAATGAATAAAGATAACAGCCGTAAGGGTTAAAAATTTATTCATAAATTCCTCTTCCTGAATTGTTTCTTTTGAAATACCAACTTCTTTGATTGATATTATACTTTCATTTTAGCTGGAATTCATTGATTTGTCATGATCGGGTTTGCATTTCTCATCCAAATAAGACAGTGAGATAGCTTCAAAATGCTTTAAATGCTTCTAAACATCTCTCTAGTTTTGATAGTTATCATTTCAAAACTCTCATATTTAACAGTATTAAAACCAAAAGAAAACGTAATTACTGATATTGTCAGTGATAAGTTTAGCATTGCATGATCTTGTCAAGATATCTCGTCAAGGTTTGAATGGGAAGACTGTATTATGTGATTATGTGATTCCCGGATACAGCTTTTTCTCTTTTTTTTCGCAAAAAGTAAAAAATTTGCAAAAAGTGCTGAAAAAAATTTTGAAAGTTTAGTAAATTATCAGATGTCACGTCACCCAAGTCAGACTTTCTCAGATTTTCTGAGCAAGACTTTCAGACTCTCCAATATAAAAATATAATAAATGATTGGTCAGATTACCAAACATATCTCCAGTCTTTATCTTGCAAAGAAATGTGATTTCTCTGTAATCCCTCCCTAAGCAAAAAAACAAATTTTAAATTACAGATTTCTCGAAAAACAAATTACATACTTTACTCTCGAATCTTCAAGTATTTCAGCATATTGACATTAAGTTTTACAACTAAACTTGATTTTTTTTTGAATTATCAAAAAGCAACCATGCAAAACATTTGAGGAAATAACCCTTACTAGCTAATCAAGTTAGCACTCATCTACTGGAAAATGTATAATCTGCAGGATTTCCATCGTCGGTTATGATACAGACAGGAAATATTGTAAACCGGATACATCATCGTACGGGGAACACGAAAATAACAGCATAATATCCGTATACTGGTGTAGCTTGACAATTTTATTTACCCCAGTCCTACTCCCTCTCCCTATTCTAACACAAAAGAATCACTGTAATATATATGTCAGCATTTTCAGAGGAAACAAAATATAAAGCATAATTGTTTATATTATCGATGTCTCCAACTTTTACCTTGCAAAAAAAATGTAATTGACTTAGAAATATATTCACAAAGTATAGGTTTCCCAATCATTGATAGATTCCGAATAACCAATTATTTCTCGTCGATATGATTCATTGACTTATCCATATGTTTATTATTATTGAGCGTTTTCCGATGCTTTTTACCTTTCAAGTGTGCTTCCCAGTTTACCGTACCATGCACATCAATTTTACATGCTTCACAATGATAAACCTGAAATGAACATCTAATAATAGCACTACTTTCAGGCGATAAATGAATTATTCAAAAGTTTTGGGTGTTCGTAAATTTTCGAAAAGAAAATAAATGATGAACACCTTCACCTGGTTAGCCAGCTTTCTGTAATCAAAATCAACTGTAAAGGATTGATTTCTTTCCGCATTGGTTCGCTTTAGAAAAATATCGTCACTGATAATATTTAGAAACTGGTCGATTCTATTCAGTACATTAGGTACTACAACATCATGAAAATTCTTCGAGGTGTCCATAAATACTATATTGGTTGACTGAAAAAAAAGGAAAAAAAAGAACTGGAATGAAATTGAATGTCGCTAGAAGTAATATAACAGTTTGTTTAAACATAACTCCTTCAATGAAGTATTAAACAGTAACTAACGTATTGCATGTTGCTTCAAAACTTTAACTTTGATCGCAAAGAACTTAAAAAAAGATTAGTGTAATGATAACCTCCGTTAAAGTACTTCCTCCAAGCAAATGCTGCTTAATCCATCGGCGCTGCCTTCGTGAATACTGTCGCGTGTGCAATTTCAAAGCTTCACAACCTTCGCTGAACAGTTTCTCACCCAATTCCGTGTATCGTTTATCTGGAGTTAGCTGTAGATAATCATGGAATTCCTTTATTGCAATCGATTGAGCCACTCCATGAGCTGTTAGACAGTGGCGATACTGTAACAGTTTCTCCACAAGGAATCAAAACAATAGAAGAAACCAACAGAATTATAATCCATCTACTTTAGTTTGCAACAAATTTAACCTAAATCCCTGCATCTTTCCAGTAATTTGGTTTGAATGCAAAGAAAAAGTTAATAGTGATACTGGAATGACGCAAATAATCAGAGTGATGTGGATGATCCGAAGGGGACAACAGAAAAAAGATAATGGAGAAATATTCACAGGGCAATAACAATGATTAAGTAGTACCAAGACAGTGTTATGCCTCACTGAACAGTATTTTCTTCAGATAAACATAATTAGCGCTTTTCATTGATAGTAGTTTAGACTCTTAATAAAAATAATGATCCTGAGCTGACAACAAATTCCTATATCGAACTGAATGCACTTTAAAATCTTTCACAGCTAGACGTTCCCTACTTGAAAATGTTACCATCCTTGTCTTTAATTACACTTATATCTGAATAATGGTCAAATTATCACCTTACAATGAGATTTCTCCAGTTCAACAATTACTTTTTATTTGTCATTCCATTCTAACTTCTTCTTTTAGCAGCATAGTGCTATGCTAGTTCATCATGGAAATCAGTGAAGAAAATTCGAGTAATTTGTTTCACCTGTTCATAAAAGTTTTCAACTTCTTTCCTTAGTCCTTTTTCGATCATTTTTGCAATTCTTTCATTTAGTCGTTTTTCCAACAATTCCTTACCAGCATCCAGAATAAGTAATAACACATTTTTAAAACGTAGCCTTTCGCCTAATTTTATCCTTTGATGCTGCTCTTTCAAATATTCACTTTTACGCTGTCCTGTTGCATAATAAATTTGCAAAGCACGAACAACGCGAAAACGATTGTTTTTATGTACCTAAAAGCAGTTCAGCTCACAAGTCGGAAAACTTTTACAATTTCACAATACATTATACAGAGGAAACTGCATTTAGACATTTAATAATGGATAAGTTGTTGTTCGAGATCTTACAGCGCATTTCATATTCCGTTATGCTGTGCTGTGCATTACAATACCACCGAAAATGGAAAGGTTACTAGCTAGATGAAAGGTGGAAAAGTAAGCTTCTAAAGTTGGTTAAAGGTGTTAACAATAAGCAACAAGTAGAATAACACAGCCTACTTGCATGGCAGATTCCAAATCGACATGTTTCAATAATTCGTAAACTTCTTCATCTGAGAGATCTTCGAAATCATTCTTAGCATCTATTTTTCGATAAAAATGATATTCCAGCAAAATGAAATTGGCGATAATCAATTGTTAAGCATATCTTTTATTGAACAAAATTAAAGGGTACTCAAGCCATATGAGAAATCCTTAATTACTATTCCAACAATTGTCACAACAATTTAAGTTTGGACTTTTTGTTAATGATTTGAGAGATAAAATACTTCAGAAATCTTTAAAAAGATTGGATCATGTTAAAATTTGAGAAATTTAATTCTTCTCATTGAAAATCCACTGTAAAAGAAACTTCACGAAATCGGTACCGAATGTATTTGTTGGTATCAAATTGTTTTTGAACAAAATTCCCTCGATGTAATACCCCGTACCGCCGACAACAACAGGTAATTTGCCAATACTCCAAAGATCTTCCAGTAAAGGCAATACTTTATTAGTGAATCTGAAAACAAACATAAGATAAATTCTGTGGAAAACTGGAACGAATCTAATAAATGGTGCTTACTGGTGTACATTATATGTAGAAGTGGAAGGCTCAACAAAGCTCATCATGTGGTGCGTCACCTCCTTCATATCTTCCTGTGACACTTTGTTCGTAGCAATATCCAAGCCTAAAAACAATTTTTCAAAAGTTAAAACGAAAAATTAGAAGATTCTCTTTTTCCCCTACCAAAAGTTGAAAAACTTCTTAGGCATCCCTACAAAATGTGAAAATTTCTTAGGTGTCCTGCAAAAAAAAATGTAAAAACTTCTTAAATATCCTGCAGAAATAATGACGTATGTGGCTGTCAATAATATATGGAAGTTTAGAATCTGAACTATCCATTCTCTTCTTATCCACTATAACACTGTATATATGACTGTTTTCGACATTTCATAAAATAATGTTACGTAAATGAAGCTTTTTTCGAGGAATCAAAGGTCGCGGAAGGTGACTTATTTTTCGATCTATAAGATTAGGATTGTTATCTCCTGTCTTTTTTATTCTACTGATTTGATAAAAAAGGGCTGCAAAGGGCTCGATTTCTGTTGTTTGCTTTGCTACAGAATGTCACCTTTAATCTTATCATCAAAATAAAGCGCTGATATACGAAGTAGATTTATTTACTTCTACCATGAAATAAGCATTTCTCGAACAAAAAACAAACACTGTGGACACACTGCTCATTCTTGGTTAATTCCCATAAAATCAAAATGTGGGCAAACTAAAACACATACCCCCTCCAAACTTGATCAATTAGTAATACTTTTGAGTTCCCGAAATTTGAAAGTTTTTCAACCTTTATAAATTTGCATCGAATCAGCACTGATTACTTCACCATTGAAGTTCTTTGCCACTGCAATTCCTAGATCACTTTTGCCGGTTCCAGTACAACCGAAAATGATAATTAATGGTTTCTTTTTTGACATTTCTAACGGAGGCAACCTCGGTCGACAACTGTTCACTCTATTTCGTAATTTTTGGAAAATCGATTTGACAGTACGTAACTGGAAGATAAGCATTTTCATCAGACAATTCTTTCGGTAATAACACCGACATCAAACTCTTTAAGAATGATCCCTGCAAAAATTAAAAAGAAAAAAGGATGAAGCTTTCCGTTCTCAATCACCATCATTATGGAATACGACTCTGGAATCATTCAAATGTTTTAAAAGAAACAAATGGCGACAATGGTACCTTACATATCGATTTGTGACGACAATGATTCCTTATAGATCCCTTAGAGATAATGATTCATTTTAAAAATAGAATATGGAAATTACGCCGCAAGTATTACCAACAAAAAGAACATTTCACTTATTATACTTCATACCATCTCTTAAAAATAACTTTGATGCCAAATTCAGCTCAAATAGTAATTTCAGTGGCTACTTTTGATGATACATATATGACCGCAAAACCATACCATGAATTTTAAGCGGAAAGTAACTGTACTGCAGCATTAGTAATCAGCAAAATGAACTGATAATAACAGCAATGATAATCACACGGTATGAAATCGAATGCAAATGTATTTTAAACCAAATGTTTTGAAAATATAAAAGTTGAGAGAAAGGCAATCGTTCAAATCCTTCAATAACAAGAATAAATAGAAAATCCTTCAATAAGAAATATACAGAAGTATATTTCACTCAGAACTATGGGCTGCAACAATATACATCCAATCACTACTTTCAAAATGTCCAAAGAAGATCAAAAATGTACAATAAGTATACAGGTGAGCTAAAGCAACGGACATCGGTATAAGGAAGACATCAACTAGATGCAACGGTATAGTCATATCAGTTGCTTCTAGTTAAAAAGCAGAAAGAAGAAACAACACGATAAATTAAATTTAAAACCAGTAATATGTTGTTAAACCAGCGATGTTATTTTTCTTAACACTCACTATGAGATGCTCGACTGTAATTTTTAAAATGGAAATGAAAAAAAAAATACATTTTATTTCTCCATTGATTCTAGGGTTACTACTACAATTAAAATCAAAAATAGCACAAAATCGCAACTAATGAAGAATACGCTAGCAGTAATCTTATTCATAGAAAAAAAAAATCCAATTATAACAAAGTCGAGAATTCTCTTCAAGGACTGAAACATATATTGTAATTTCGGAATACCAACTCTACATTGATCGATGTGTTCTATCATACCAACAATAATCTGATAAAGTTTTCGTTTCCTTCATAGTTTTCAGAAATGTTACTCAGCAAATATTCTGGGAAGATTTAAATTCGGATTGAGTCGTATCATAACATCAAAGCCAGGTTCTGAAAAGTTTTGGTTTATCAAATCAATAACTTCGATGCTTTATGCAATTGTAAAGTCGTTGACGCTACTAACATCGCTTTCATTCTAGCCGATTTAATGCTTTGGCTGCTCATGTAACATGATATAAGTGTATATGAGGATCATCGCTAGCCTAAGAAAACTAACGAAAAAATCTCTTGACACAAAAGTTTAAACATGTCTCTGCATAAATTATTCCCAAAAGATTCAATTTACCTTCATATTGTCTTCGTAAAACATCAACAACAAAAACATCTTGAAACTGAGAGTCGCTGAGTACTTCCCACAACAGAGCATACTTCTCATCCATTGTTTTCTTGTCATTAATACCAAAGTTCTGAAATTTGTACTCAGATTTCATACTCCTAACGTATTCTCGAATCAACTTCTGATACTTTTGACTTCGTCGAAAAGTTAAACATTTACCACTGCGCGAACGATGAGTTCAATTTCCACAGAATTCACAGACTGCAACAGTTTTGACAATAAATTATAGATTTTCTTAGCAAGTTCAGCTACTTCTGGAAATTTTATTTCCCTGAAGAATATTTTTAAATGACTGGTTTCTGCATAACTATTAAGGGGAAGACATTCAACATAAGCTAGTTATTACATAAATATGATTTTCTTGAAGAATAGAATACCTGATGACTGGATTGACGACGAGCACGGGTTCTTCATTCAGACCAATACCATGCACAACATTTATTATACCCATTTCTAGTGAATCAATGTCGCAAAATTCCCATCGCTTATTCAATTCCCCAAACACTTCCTATATGTATATGTGCACCAGTAACGAATATTTCTTCATAAGTAAATTTAATACAGCAGAAAAGAGGATAAACCTTGAATCCTGATAAAGTAAATTTGCCATCGTTTTCTTTAAAGTAATCATCTACCATCTGTAAATATCTAATCAATTCTTTCAAGTCACCGGTAAATATTTCTTCCCATTGTTCCATAATTTTACTTAGATCGCTCCTCCTACAAGAACCAGTTTGATCTATGTAACATACAGCGCACAAAAATTAATTATAGATGTCTGAATTTGAATTTTAAGATGAAACTATTGATTTGTCCCATAATTTCTCGACCTTTTAAAGTGATCGTCTTTAAAGATTAGATGATGTATAATACAATTGTGAAATAGATGATGTATAATACAATTGTAAAACCTTTCGAATGCTACACTTACATATATGAATACTCCGATATTGCATCACTTCTGACCTGCGGTATATTACATTTTTTGTCTTCAGCAAGAACTATAGGAACGGCCACAGGCCTTTTATCAGCACCATCATTTCTACGGTGTTCTTCTTTTCTAGCAAAAAATTGTTTGCTCTAAATTTTTGAAAAAATCAAAATTAGATGCAAAATAAATACTACATCAAAACGTGATCTACCTGCTTACAAATGCCCCAGAAACTTGAACTAAGATCACAAAATATTTAGCCGTTTTGTCTTTATCCACAATATATGGAACGGTATTTTGAATATCTCCATTCATACTTCTGATGTAATAGATTATTCAGCATATAATTTAAAGGATCGTTATGAAATCACTATATCAAAAAGTAATTCCATCCCATTATTGCCACGAAATGAAAAAAAAAAAAAAAAGAAAAAAGGAAAACTTTACCTTATCGTTACAGAATTTAATGAAGTTATATGAAGACTCTTCTGCACTCTTACACACAGTGCTTTCCTTTACTTCTTCCTTTTCTGATATAAGTTTTTCCTCTTTCTTTGTTGAATAACTTCCATTTGTAGCAGTAGTTGTCGTCATACAGCACTTTTGCAATGCTAAAGTAGCAGGGCATGTTTTAGAGCGATCGGATGTCCTTTCACAAACTGATGAGCTTGGAATATTTTCTTCCTGAAAAAAAGGTAGTTGATATCTATAAAAAGAGTTTACTGTGTGTGGTTGATATCTATAAAAAGAGTTTACTATGTGTGTCACAACGATGTGAATTATTTCTGCTATTCAGGAACAAGTAACAGGCTGAAAAACAAATCCTTCATGCACCAAGATCTAATTATATACACCGTGATTAACTATTCAAATACATATCTTTATCTGTTAACTCAGCAAAATTATTACCCACCCATCTATTTCATCAATTTTCTATCAAATTCACAGGAGCACTTTTTAGGGATGAACTTATGGCTACTTTCCCTTTTGTCATCCATCCGTCTCACTATCTCATGACAACTTTTAATTACCACGGCCTAAGTAAAAGCCATCAAGTATATCCGCAAGCCATAATAAAAATTCAGTAACAGTTCTCGAAAATGAAAACTAAATTAGCATAAAATTATAATAAATAACCATAGTCAACATCTTTGGGAATCAAAGTCTTGGTGGACAAACTTAACAGTTAATCTAGTACGAATAAGTGAAATTGTAATTTATAAAATCTTTCACTTGAATTGAAAGCGTTGCACGGCGATAACGACACAGGTCATCTTCAATCTCAACATAATCGGTCATTTCGTAACGTAAAAATCCCTTGAAGTCATCCGTTATCGATGGCAGCAATATTATGCTACAATTTGCACATGACTGTTTCAACAAAACCATTAGCTGACAAATGGTAACACCATACTGAAAACATTATTCATACACAGCAGAGTTAATTGAAAAAGATTAAAATGGAATAGTCATGAAATTTAAACAAGAGAAAAATGAATTTAATGTGTAAGATGAGGAAAAATCCGACAGTTTCTAGTGTAATCATTACCTAGTAAACGTGATGTAAAACGTAAAATAATGAGCTGATGAGTTGTGCAAGAAAGAGAAGTAACACTACAACTGATGACACATGCTCCTAAATGTACCGAATATGATATGATAACAATTTCTCCTTACCACAACGAAAAATCCTTACCTTGCATATATCTGAGTTTAAGATATCGATAAGAATATCACGTATCCGACGAACGAGCATATCACTCATGCCTACAGCATGCTGTGAAACATACTGTTTAGTATTATTGGTACTATCTGTCACTTTTTGATTTTGATTTACACCAAATACATAACAACTAGAAGGATTCGGTGGATGAAAAGCTGATTGCATGGCAGTTTGTGGAGTAGGATGACGAATAAATGGTTGAATGTACTGGAAGTATGACCCTTGTGGGTATATGAAATTTTGTGGCCATCTCTGGAAAAAAAAAAAGCATATGAAAAAGTGCGCAAAAAGTCATATTATTGTTGTTGTAGCTTCTCTTATTCTTATTATTTATGTATGAAAAAAAATAATAAAAATGGAAGTGTTATGTAAGGAAGAAAAAAAAGTAATAAAGAAAAATATTAAAATAAAGAAAACATATGCATTCTGAATTCATTGCTTTCTTAATATTCAAACAAACCATACATTTACCTCTATCCTTTCTCATTATCTCATTCGTAATATCAAAAATCATATCAACACATCCATCAAAAGAACACTTGTCTCAATGAAATAATCATAATCCATCTATTCACATCAAATTATTATCTATATTCATCTATCGATATGTCTCGCTTAAATTAAATAATAGCCAAATGTTAGCAGCCAAGCATTCCACATCAAACATTATTGAATATTACGTCCATTTCACGCCACACATTATTCTATCTATGGACTAAAATCAAAGACTTAAGATCATAAACTCTCATTTTATGTCAAATAATAGCCAAACATCAACATCCCGAAATTAAAATTAGTTTGGGCTCCACGTTAGATATTATTACGCCCATTCCACGCCACACATTTATTCTATCTAAGAATTAAGGACTAAGGTCAAAGGTTTAAAGCCACGAGCTCTCGTTTGTGCATGTCTAGCATACAAATCATACTATAAACAATTCAAGAATATAAAAGGAAACAAACCTGTGGATAGGTGAAAGTTGCAGGAGACAAATAGAAACGTGAAGTGCAATTTGGACATTGAACAATGAGATGTGAAGAGTATTGTTGTTGGCTTGCTGACCCTAATACCGTATAATTGCTATACAATTGAGCCATCTGTAATGAATACTAACTACCTTGACCTCATAACTGCAACACTTTGACCTTGTCTACTACATAGCAAAATGTCTCTCACACCAAGCAGTATGCTTCGCTACACATAACTCTTCAATGGCTTTTATTCTCTCGCGGGTGATAGGTTGGGTGGTGCGACGGAGGAATAACGTAATGTACGCTGAATACACTTATGAAATGTTGCTTACGTACGTGCGTGTGTGTGAATAGGGCATTATTTTGTCTTGGTTTTATGAAGTAAGATCTGTTGATAAGATCATTTGGTGACATTTTTGTGACAAAAAGTTGATGGAAACAGAAAACGTTGGTTGAGGAGTACTTGTTGTTTGGATGGATTAGGTGACATTGAAATTTAGAGAGACTTCAAAATTAGTTTATTTCAGAGAAGAGAAGGGAAGAGGAGAGAAGAGAAACGGAAGGTAGGAGGAACTGCCGTGGTGAAGTCAAGAATGTCTGCCAACGATATTAGTGATAGTAAGGCTGAGATAGTTACAGTTGACATTGGAAACTCGAACAATTGTAATACTATTAGACAGGTAATTATTACTTTTGTTCCGTCTAACATATTTCGTTATCATTGCTATTATTTCTGTCATTTCACTTTAATGCAAATATTAATAATCAGGATATACTTATCACTGACTGCGATAATGCGAATTTTCCATTTATTATTAGCAGACTAATGTAAACATTAATTTTATTTCTTGATGAAAAATGAAAAATCGGCATTATCGCGTAATAAGTTATCCGGATTATCAATAATTCACCTTACGTAGTTTTGCTAAATTCTACCAGATATATCAATTATTGTTTGATAATAAATTACTAGACTGTGGCGTGCATTCGGGCAAAGAGAATATATGAGGCACTTGGTACAACGACTATTAATGATCAAGCATTCGTTTAATTAATCATTAAGAAAAAAAAAGAATAATTGTGGCAGTACTAAAAATTCGACAGTTATATTCATTGTAGTAACAAAAAATTTTGCAGAATTTATGGGATGCTGAAAGTGAAGGCGAAATGGTGGATGTTAGGTTGGATGAAAGACGCATAACATCAACCGCTGATGATTTTTCCTGTAGCAGTATCCTAAAAGAAGCCGTAGATGTTGAATCTATTAAAGGAAAAATTGCTGATGCCCGTGATCAAGATGATAATTCTGTGAACGAAGAGCAGATTGAACAGGTATTTTGCTTCATTTTGTATTTAGTTCTTATTTTTTAGAAATACTTCTTTGTTTCACGTTAATGTTACAGAAGTTTGGTTTTTTTTTTTTTTTCTGACGAAATGAGAGAACAAATGGAAAGAAAAAATGCAAGTGTGGCATGGAATATATTAGTATTATAGCTTCAAAACGTGCGAACATTTGTTAATATTCATTCTATAATCAACTATTTCCTGCAATGAATATTTCAAGAAATTGAGAAATTAAAATCCATCATTTTCCTCTTTTTCCCTCTTTTTCTCTCCCATTCTCTCTGGTTCTCATACAACGTTATTAAATTAGATTATAAGAAAAAAAAACGTCATTATTCTTGAAAATTCTACTTAACTAATTCCCTTTGTGATAACCGTTTCCTGTCCGTTTATACATTAGCTTCATTTGAAAGCAATATAAGCTGAAATAACGACGAATACCATGGATTTCAAACATTGGAATGTGACACTAAACGGTTACAACAACCTTTATAAAGCTGTATTGTTAAAACAGCTGAGCATTCCAGGGTAGATTTTTCAAAGAGATGAAGGCAAAACTCGAGAGATTTGAATGTCTTACCTATAAAAAAAAGTGTCAAAATCCAATGAGAAAAGCAAAATCTCAAACACTTATTGCAAAATTTATTTCTAGGTTGTGCAAAATTTCGAAAAACAAGTTAATTTGATTAAGAATAAAGTGGGAAGTAATACCGTAGTAATTCATTCGGTAGATGAATTGCCCGACGAGACATTTCAAAGGTTGCAACAGGGTCTACAGGATGGAACTCTTACACACAAAGAAATTGTTGATTCGATATTCAATGCAGTTAGTTTAAATGTCTCATTGAAGTCGAAAAAGACATATCACTATCTTAATAATGAATAAATTCATTTCTGAGGAATTAATTTCCTTTTTTTGTTTTGAGCTTGTAAAAATCCCTTTTTTTCAGCTTGTTGGTGGAGCATTCGATATTGAATCAAAATTTATCATCGAAAATCCTAAAAATATTATTCTTTTGCTGCGTTTGTTAGATGCAGCTCCATCTCATTTAGAGGTTTGCTTGATCATTTTCTTATCAGTTCGGTGATATTGTTTCCCATAATCTTCAATTTCCTGCAGTTATCGGTTTTTTTTTCTTTGTACTAATTTTGTTATTTGAAAAGGAGTTAAAGTGTATAGTATCTTTTAGGCAGAAATATGGAGCGTATTTATTGGCGTTGTCAGGAAAAGTACTCGTAATTTGCAAGCTTGTTCAAGGGTTGGCCTTATCTTAGAGGTTAATTTTGTTGGAACTTTTTCTGAAGTTCGTATTATTTTCTGACCAATTTGATTTCGTGAGGAGTTTTAGATTCTGGATCGGTTATCAAATAGCGATGCAATTGTCTCGGATTTATTGGTGCAACTTCTTGGAGTGCTCACAACTTATAGTATTACTGTTAAGGAAACCAAAAGATTTCTCAGTGCTTTGAAGGCAGTAAATAGAAAATGGGTATGTTTATATGCTTTCTTAATTTTTGTTCAGTTATTGTTGAGGTGAAAAGGAGCCGCCATTACAACTACGTAAATTAAATTACAGCGTAAGAACTCAATCAAACTTTTGGATGTTTTGGGAGAAATGCCAAAGCGCGATGGTGCGGATGTTTTCTTTTCGTTCCCTGGTGTGCATAGTGCAGTTAGTTTCTTTACATCAGCCTTAAAAGAAATTCTAATGAAAAATAGAAGAGCAGGAAAGTTTAATAGTAAGAGACAGCTTACGTTTTGATACTTTGAGGGTATTGCATTACCTCCACTGACCAAGTGGCCTTATCAAAATGGCTGGAGTTTTTGTACGTGGTTGAAAATGGACCCTTTAAATAGCGTCAATTTCGAAAAGGAGCGTCCATACATCTATTGGTATGTATAGATTTCATTCATTCCTAAAATTTTTTGAGCGTTGGTCAGAACAGTTAGCTTTCAGTTAGGATGTTCCAATCTCTCTAATCTTTTTTTTTGTTTTTGCTTCTCCAGTAAAGATTTTTTTTTCAGTTTTCGAACTACAAAAGGAGTTGGCTACAACTGTTATATTATGGGAAGTTGCTTAGTTATCAGTTGTATTAAAGTCGTAGGTAAGGAAACAGCACGGTGTATACGATTTGAATTGACACCTAGAAGGTTCGTCTTTTCTTTTTTTTGTTTTATGGAAACTTGCTTTAATGCTCACAGTTATTCTGAGCTTTTGTTTAGGTGGCACCATGTTACTATCTCACATATTTATTCTCGTTGGTCGAAGAGTGAAATTCAGTGTTTCGTGGATGGCCAAATGATTGAATCTTTCGACGTGTCTTGGTATACTTCACTTCTTTTCTGATTATTATCAATTATTGCTACCTTTGTGTGCTAATCATTATTAGTTATTTGATGTCATTTTGAAAATCATTATTTTTTAGGTTTGTTTCAACTACTGAACATTTTGATAAATGTAGTATTGGCTGCGGACCTGATGGAGAAGAACCATTCTGTGGTCAGATAGCAGCTTTGTATGTATTTTCGGAAGCCTTAAGTGCCCAACAAGCTAATGCAATCTTCTGTTTGGGACCATCGTATCAGAGTCGTTTTCTGCACGAAGCCGAGACTGACCTCGCTGATGACTACAAAAAGGTATCTGTTATTAGAAGTTGAATTTATATTGTTACTTTTGCATAATTGGGATACTTGAATATTTCAGTTTTTATTTGATGGAAAGCTCAGTGCTTCCGTTGTGATAGCGTATTCACCAAAAAATTGTGATGGGCAGTTGTGCTTACATTCAGCGTCTAAAACAGGTTCTCCGTACTTTGTGCAGATCCCGCATGCCATTATGAAAGAGGTCCATATTTCTACCAGTTTTCAAGGATTTTTTTAGCAAACATATTTTTTTCAAAGCAAATGGTGTCATATTTAATACGAAGTTCTACTTTTTAAGCTTTCCGTCGATGTTTTTTTTAGGGCGTCGAAGTGGTGAAAACTTATTCAATCCACAACTCGTTACATTCCTTAGGTGGTATACAGATGCTTTTGCCTCTGTTTTCACAAGTAGACTTTCCTCAGTATGATGGAAGTGTTCGGAAAATCGATGTTTGGTGATTTTTAATTTCATGCTATTTAGAGAGCTATATGGAGTGAATCACCTTTTTATGTCACATATAAAACTGTTAGAATTTGTGCAATTAGCACAATGATGAGGAAGTGAAAGGGAAAAATTAATATGACTTACGTCTACATTATTATTGATTGTAGCTCTTCATGTAGAATACTTTCCCATTTAGTTATTTGCTCATTCGTATTCTCAGTTCCATATCAGACATCTTCCGGTTATAGTCTCGGTAATATTTGCTAGTTCGCATTTCTGGTGCTATATCCGATTGGTTCCTACTATTCTGCAGCATGTCATGCATCTCATCTTTTCCATTCCTTCTTTTTACTCCACTTATCATTTTTATCACCATTCTGCTGTAATTCTTTTTAAAGAACTTATTCCAAAGAGTGTGACGAGCAATTCAAGTTTTTCGAAAAATTAAATTCTCCAAAATATCCTTTGTTTGCTTGTTATTGAGCATTTCATCGCTAATCAACGATCTACCACAGGAATTTAGTCTTCTTTTTTGATAGATTTTGGGGAAATAAAATGCTCCACCCTTTTCTTTCCCTTGTCTAACATTTTCAGTTAATCTGTAAGAAGAAGTTAAGGTTCAAGCATCAAATCAAGCTAGGCTGAATTTTCTTTCATAATTAGTTCTTGCTTCTGATTTTTCATCTTTTTTTGATTGGAATGTATCGCTGAACGATTACAAGATAGCAAACCTCAAATGCTAAACTAGTCCATTCTGAAAAAAACAATGGTTGAAAACATGTAGTCTCAGGAACTGAATAATCTCTCTTCAAGCTTTATTTTTGTCCAACTTTTCTGTGGAGAGCAATGTAGATAATGAAGATCGTAACATCGATAGCCGAAGTTACCGGTTATATATTGCCTCGCTCTTCATCAAAGCATACAATTTCCAGAAAGACATTACGATTGTCGAAAATGAAGGATAACAAAAAATTATCATTTATTATTGTCCTATTTTAGGCATTGCATCTCCGTTAAAATATTTTTTCTAAGAATATTTTTAAGCTTCAAACAAAGATTTTGCAAATATTAGGTGAACATTTCAGCTCGAAATTACTATCAGCTGTATCTCTCCTGCTAAGGACTGCTTCAAGTGCTCCTCAGCAACTCTATCATAGCAGAGCATTTCTCGTCATTTCTCAAGCCCTATATGAGGTTTTTTTTAAAATTCTTTGGATTATAGTGATTTTAGCAATGAATGATTACTATTAATTACGATAATGAATGATGCATTATTTCAGTCGTCGCCTTCAAATCTTACTCAACATGTATTGGATATTTTAATTGATATTTCAAAATACCTATTAACACTTCCTTCGGGAATACCGCTGTTGAAACATCTTTTCGATTATATTCTTTTCAATCCTGAACTTTGGAGTAGAGCTGATCCTACGGTAATCATTAATTTCTGCGTACCTTCAATAGCTATTATTTCATTTTCAAAAAATTATAGTGGTTCCGATTTTGGGGCTTTTCGTTGCAACAGTATTTGATATAAGAAGTTTAATATAGAATACCTACACATAACTAATTATTTTGTAATATCGATCTGGTTTTGTAATATCGATTTCGCATAATTAATTATTTTGTAAGGTTTTGTTCAGAAAGAGATTTTGTTCGATTTGGTTATTGAGCGTATTACTGGATAATAACGGTTGTTTTAGATACAAATTCAATTATATTACTTTTTGGCAAGCGAATTTTTGATGAACGTCAATTTGACACTGATTGTGCAACGTTGTGCTACTGTAGTTGAGGTGCTTCATGCTATCAAGCTATACTACTGGGTTGTTCTGCCACGTTCACCATCACTGTACAACGTGATTAACCGCGAAGGAGGGCTATCCCGGTTAACATTTATTCCAGTTTTATCTCTTTCAAAATGAATTTTACTGCTGCAAAGATTCTGTTCAGAAAGGGGTCTTTGGACATCGAAAAGGGAAGCAATTTTTCGGGAATAAGCATCAATTAATTAACTATCAACAAATCGATTCTTGACATGAAATTCCTACTGGTGGGTTTTATATGACTGAATGTGTCACAAAATGATTTCGCTCGGATTAAGAGATGAGTTCATAAAAAACCCGAAGGCAACTGCACCAGATGAGACGAGATTCTGATTTGTCGATATCGCTTATTTAGTTTTCTTTTTCTTTTTTTTAATGGTTGTATTTGCTGATATATGTTTAGAAATGAGGTTGTAACTATACGCGCACATATGTTAACTTTCGTTTCTCGGTTAATCTGTATGCCAGATCCCAAAGAAAGTGGCACTATGAATCGAGACGGTGAATTCAATGCATTATTAAATTTTATCGCCACCGTAAACGAAGTAAGCGTTAAATTTCGATTTTGATGAACAATGACGAAATGAGCCGCTCTGTCTAACAAACAATATCCACATTTAATAGGTTTAAAATGGACGGATTGTTTATCGTGACTTAGTATAAATACGTATTATGTTGATGCCTACCTAAATAGTCAAGAAATTTCATGATAGTTGTTGTTTGTTCCGTGCTGTAAGGTTTCGAAAATTTTCAAAATTTTAAAGGATGATAATCTGTATGATGTATTGGCCCTTACAACACGATTACTTTCTGAAAAACCGGCAGCAATGGTACCGGCATTCGATCGAAAGAAAGGCCTTGCAGTTGTGTTCAAACTGATCAACTCTGTCAATGAACTTGTTCGTATACCGGCTTTGAAGATATTTGGTTATTTCTTGTGTCGCTCAACTCTCAAGTGAGCCTTGTTTTTGGACTGTCATCTTTTTTATGATCCGAAAAGAATGAAAGATCAGTACCGCAATCTCCGCCTTTGAAGTACGAAAAGCGCAATATGAATTTGCTGACATTGATTTGCCTTCTTGAAGCTGCTGTTGTAGACGGTGGTTACGGCTGGTTTCTTTTTTTGATTTCGTTAAGAAGATACATCTACTGATTTCTGTAAATATTTCAGACGAAAGACGGATTCAGTGAGCAGTCTCAATTTATTGTCCCTTATAACTGACCGGTTATTGTTAAACGCTAGTCATCTTACTTTGGCAACATACAACGTGCTATTTGAAATACTTACCGAGCAAATGACGCCAACACTTAATTATTTGGTTCATGCATCAATCAGCAACGTAATGAGATTTGAAAACCCTGCAATGTTAAAAGTTATTACCAATCTGATAACACAAAGTGAGAATAATTCGGAACTAATGAAGGTGAGCCCTTTCGGTAGAAATTGTTGGGTATTGCGTAAGCTAAGTCCCGAATCCGGAGCAGCGTTTTAAGGATCGGAAGATGTTCAACCTTATTGTGAGTTTTTTTTTTCCCCCCCCCCTCCCCATTTCCCCCATTTTTTATAACATCGAAAATGAAAACGGAAGAGTAATGGCGCTTCTGGATGATCTAGTTCAATTTAAACTTTTATTATGTCTTATTTCTAGGTGAAGCGAATTTTCTTGGAAGATTTGCTGCATATGTGTGAAAATTCACGAGATAATCGGCGTACGATTTTGCAAATGAGCGTATGGCAAGAATGGCTTATTTCATTGGCTTACATTTTTCCCAAAAATGACGATGAAGTAGCAATCAGCGAACTTGTTTATCGCATCTTTGCACAGCTTCTCTTTCACGCTATTTATTTAGAATATGGAGGTTGGAGAGTTTGGGTCGATACTCTCGCTATTGCTCACTCAAAGGTACAAATTTGAACATTTGTTTCTGAATTCTTGATTAATAGAGAGGAGAGGGAAAAGGGTACCTTCACAAATGAATATACTTAGATCATTAAAATTTGTCTTAGAGTAGTAATAATCAAAAAAGAATTGAGTGGAGCATGAGGATATTGGTTGTTAATACGTCATTCATATATTGATGCTGTTAGGTGAAAGTAATATGAAGTAATTGCCTGGATTTGTTCGTACTTCATGGCACCCAAGATTAAAACTGACTAAATCAGTATAAGCTAAGTATATATTTGTGTATATCTGTAATTTATAACAAATAAATCTGGCCGAAAGCTGAAATATTTTGAATGACTTTCGTGGAGGTATTTAATTTTTTGTACCTTAAATTATTCTTTAGGTATCATGGGAACGTCACCAGATAAAATTTCAAAGGGGTGGTGAACGCGAAACGGATGTTATATTCTATTTAGTTCAAAATCTTGTTTCATGTGTGGCTCGTACAATAGTAAGTTTATGAATGTTCACTGTCTCAAATATATATATATATATTTCCGTTTTTTTTTAAAAAAAAAAGGAGTTTCATTTAATTTCAAGCATTTTTCCAAGGACGGGCTTGTGGATGAAGTGGAAAGAAAAGATGAATCGAAAATATCAGCTGATCAACCAAGTTCCATCTACCGTACCCCGGAGTTTTGCTGGTCGGATGTGCACTTGAGACTGCTCGATGATTTGCTTGTTTCAATCGAAAGTACTGTAGAAGAGTGGAAGAAGTATGAGTTTTGAATGAAAATTCCATTACTTATTAAAATGCAATGTTTATAGTATTTTCAGAAAACTTGAAATATTTATAGAGGCACTTCAACAATACTGGATGTTGTGAATAGCAATGAAAATAGCGTATTTGTTGCTAACTGTGTTCATATTTTATCCCAGCTCATCGATTTGTTGGTAATGGCTTGTGGTGGTCTACTTCCTCTTCTGGCTGCTGCTACATCTCCTAATGTAAGTTGTAATGGTTTAACTGTCAAAATTAACTTACGAATGTTAGGACATTGTTAATAAAAGAAATCTCTCTTAGAGCGAATTGGAAATAATGGATTCAACAAATGAAGCACTGGCTATAGGTAGTGCCGCTCGTTTGCTGGCACGTTTTGTCGTTTTGGCCGATGTTTTTGTTTTTGCATCTGGAATAAGTTTCAGTGATCTTGAACAAGAAAAGAATATGCCTAATGGTGGCATATTACGGCAAATATTACGTCTTGGTAAAATTTGTTTAAGTCATTTCAATTTGAGTCAAATAATATACATTGATCAGTATTTATCGTAAAAGTAGCAGTGCGAAACTGTTTTATAGTGTCAACGATGGCTGTACGGAATATACTTGCTTGTCGTGTAAAAACTTCCTTTGGCAAAATGGTATGTATGAATGCCAAGCAAGTAACACGTGCTCAGCAGATCGCTGAATTTGTTTCGGACGCACTGGACGTAGTTAGTATTTCATTACCACTTTTTTTTTCCTCATTGTATAACTGACAAAGTTAATTTCTTTTCTTTTTTTTAAGGGAGGCAAAGGAGGAATTATGGATCCGGAACATTTGGTGCAGGAGGTTGATTTACAACGGTTAAGAGGGGTAATCTATCGTGATATGGTAAATTTCGCTTCCGTTGCTTTTGTTTTGATTTCTTAGCGATATTTTACGAGTTTCACAGCATATAGCCATGATAATACGTTTTGCGACTGTTGTATACCTTATAGAGTAAATATGTCATTAAAAATGTGTTGGTCAAAACATGCTTTTGTTTGTGTTGATGCTTTTGTTAGCATAAATCTCGCGAAAGTTAGATTTTTAATTCCATAATTTCTCTGTGAATATTAGAACTGCAAAAGCATTGTTTAGGAAGAAAATCGGCAGGCGCAGTTCCTGGCTCTTGCGGTCACTTACTTCTTATCAGTGCTGATGGTATCTCGATACAGAGATATTTTAGAACCACCATCTACTCCTAGTCCTTTTTTTGATACAACTATAACTGGCGGCACAAACAAAGGTATGAATTATTTTGTAATTCTACCATGTTATTTTGAAAAAAAAGAAAAAAAATCGTTTCTTATTCATGCCATCTTGCAGATTATAGTAGTGCTTTGAGGCAAGAATCAGGCGAAGAATGTGTTGAAGAGAATGGCGAGTTGTCTGATCACGGTGATAGCAATATGGATAAAAATGTTTTTGTCAGGGAGGATTCGTCAGTATCACTACAGGAAAGCAAGAAGAAAGAGCCGCAGAGTAATGTCTATCGGCAGGATCACCTGAATACATTTAATGTTTGTGTTCTGATAAATACTGGGTTCTTTCTTCTTGAATTCGAACAATTTAGGACATATCTTTCGAAATTTAATTATGTATAAGAAGGTTTGCAAATTTTAATTTTTTAATACAATAATATTTTAGGATAGCAGTCTTGCTAATCGCGAGTTAGAAACGGGTGAACGACGAGCTTACCTCACAATCAAGTTGCAACAAGCCTTGGAAACGACAGCTCCACTACTGCGGGAAATACTCATCGACTTCCATTCATATCTTCAGAAAACACTGTTAGGAACTCACGGTCAGGAAATTATGAATGACACCAAAGGTGAACTTTTAGGATTGTCTTTTATCTATGGAGCAATTTGAATATATTTGAATGAATGGTATTTTTTAATCGTTGTCATGAATATAGTGATGGAAACAATGAAAAACCAGGCAGGATCAGTAATCGAACTGGTTATGCTATTATGTTCACAAGAGTGGCAGACCTCTTTACAGAAGCATGCTGGATTGGCTTTCATTGAACTTGTAAACGAAGGCAAGTTTGATTTTCAACTTTATCTGTTATGACAAGAATCCCTTCTTCATGATTCTCACAATATCATCCGATTATTTTGTATAGTGAATTTTGAGCGATAGCGTTCCTGCTATTTCGAATCGATCGCACTAGTAAGATTTACCGTATGGCTATCTATGAGAAGTTCTCATAGTGATTTTTTTTTGTCATATGGGTTTTACTGAGGTATAAGTGCAGTTTATCCTGTTCGAGCATATATGAAATCATTTGAATATTAAGTTCACCTACTGTTATTGCAATTTACTTGTAAAATGCATAAAGATCGAATTTCATGCAATTTTTTGGTACACATTGGATGTACAAGATTTTCTTTCTGATTTTACAATGTGTTATATTTCAATAAAAATCCAAAGTTTCATTTCTGATAAATTTTTAATCACTGATTTCATCTCTTTGTTTCATTCTAAATTACTTTTTTGTAATTAATTTCGCAATTTACCGAATATTCAGGTCGTTTAATGGCACACGCAACACGAGATCATATCCTGCGCGTTGCCAATGAAGCTGATTTCATACTAAATCGTCTACGGGCTGAGGATATCAGCAAGCATGCTCAATTTGAAGTAACTGTTTTTCTCATACGTTTGCTAAGTGATGGAATCTTACTGAGTTAAATAAATTTGCAGAGTGATGCAGCTGAACAGATTCATCGACGTCGAAAAGAGGAACAAATAAATGATCATTTGATTACGGCTAATCGCCGCAGAGATCTGCTTGTATCAGCACGTTTGCTGGATAGATTAACGTCACTATTGTCGTACCCGGGCGGTGCGTGGAATGATTCAGACCAACATTTGTGAGTATTTTGGTTGGCATCTTTAAATCGATGTATTTACAAACACTGTCATTTGTTTATCTTAATTGAATAGTTACTAGTGTTCATTTTTAGAAAGACTTTCTGGAAATTGGATGTTTGGGAAGACGATTCAAGACGACGTAAACGTTTCATACTGAATCCTTATGGCTGCCATCATTCAGCAGCGTGCCTTAAAACTATATTAGAAAGCAAGTCATCTAATAAAGAGGCTGGTTTAGTTTGCATATTTAAAGCCAATGAAAAGACCTTTGGCAAACTATTAGAGAGTGATCACATGACATATGTGACGAATGTTTTGATAGTTACTTTTTGTTTTCGAAAATGAAAAAAGATTTCCATTTTAAATTTATCCGGTCATAGGGATTGACCATGAAATATCGAATATCCAGAGCTCATCATCAATTTCAGATTGATAAAGCTCGTGAAGATCTGCTGCGTGATTTAGTAGCACAACGTCTGGTTTCGTTAGGATCGTTGAAACCTGGTTCTGCTTTAGGTGAGCTTGTCGATGAAAGTGATTTCGAAAAATGGGCCACTGAACCTGATGCTGCAATCGATTTGCAAAGAGGTAAGAAGTTTCGGACTTGATACACTTTGTTAGGTGAATAGCTGGTATATGACTGAACTCCACTGCTTGTAGGATAAAACTGTTAATGTGAAAAAGAGATAAATATTCTTCATTCAGCTGCAAGTTTTACTATTTTGCTGCTTAAATGTGTTTTCGTTTTTGCAAAATTCATTTAAAAACTTTCAAGAATACAAATTTTATCATCAATAAAGGTAATTTCGAAAAACAAATGTATTTTTTATAAAAACCCTTTGACACGATATAGTGTGCAAGTCTTCGAGACCTCATATGTGGACTAATATTTCTCTGTCTTGTATTGGCATTAAATCAATGTGGAATTATTTAGCTCTGATGGATTGGTCGGATGCAAGTTTAATCGCTCTTTATAAAAGGGATTATGAGTAAGCTATTTTAAGAAGAGCAGGAATTAGAGTATTAAAGAGAGAAATGTCCTCGTATAAGTTTCAAAACTAAAATGAATTTTTTCATCTATACCTATGGGAATAATAATATGCAAATTGACATAATCCTTCTTCTGGAACATATGATTATCTTTTCATGCTACTATTTTTAAAAACCATCTGCTTTTCGTATTGCAGACATATTGGTACCTTGTCTTATTGATAATATGTTATTGTACAAAATACGTCACATCTTGTTTAATAAATGACATCGTATATCTTATCGGTCTTCTTCATAGCTTGTTCTTATTTAAGTACCATATTTACCCTATTATTTTAGATAAAATAATAATGGAAAGATCTGACAGAAAGAGTTGGTTTTGTTATTGGTCGAGAATGACTGTTCCTTATTTTTTGCTATTCGAATATTTTTGTGGGATGAATGAAGGTTTTGACGAACATTTAAAGGATGGTTTAAATGACCTTAAAATTCAGTACTAACGATAAAGCCTTAAAATTCAGTAATTTAACTTTGCACAAGTTTTTGAATTATTATCACCATCGTAAGGAAATGAAGAAAAAATGTCAAAACATCTCTCTTAATTCAGGATTATCGCGACTTTCGAATTGCACTGATTAGATTTGTAATGATTCCTGTAATTTTCGTCGAATTAGTCTCTTTTCATACTTGCTAAATTAACTTTAACTCATTGAGGTCAGGTTTACTAAGTGGTCGTGTGTTCTGTCTTGAGATATCTTATAAATTTTTGCTTCTAAAATTGATTCTGCCAAAGTAATTGGATTGAGACGATGCTCGGAAAGAGGAGGCCAACGATAGACAACCCTATTTGATGAGTGCCCTACCTGACACTTGTGGACATATGATTTGGATATTTGATAAATCTGTTTTGCAGACACCCGCTTCTATACCAAACTGTTAGCATCTATTCTTAAATCGAACAGTTTTTGATAAGTTACCAGTAGTTTAAAATTGTAAATTTATGATATAATTACTGAAAATCTTGAAGCAAATGAAATAAAGTTATTATGTGACAGTATATCTCGGATATTTTGATGTTTCGTCAACATTTCGTATCTCTTTATAACATCGAAATTTTTAAATTAATGTTCATAGTTTATCTTTTTTCAAACAAAGGTTGAGTCATCCAATCCATTCATCATCAGGAGAATTCGAAGCATACTGTAGTATTCGATGGCAGCGTTGCTTTGTACATAGTTATGTAGTTTACGTAGGAACATTATTTTCGCCTTGCATTCCTTTTCATGATAGTTGAATAAATCTGATGTTGAAACTATAGATAATGGAGAGTAAGAGTGAATCGATATGATCAAAGATTAGGGATAAAAATAAAAGGTGGCATCCCATCATAGGTGGTAGTAGTTAATTGAGAATTAATCAACTTATTGACGTCTTGAAATGCTCATTTAATTTATGATATTACTTGCATGATATCGTTTTATGATGTAAAATAGTTTGAAATAGGGATATTTTGCAGAGAAAACAACTTATGGTACTGCAGCGAAGTTGATTGCGCCAGGCATTGTTGTACCGGGAACCCTTTCTATAACGAATTATGAAGTGTTTTTTGATGCTGACGAGGATGATCCACTGTACAAAGAGCAAGATCCTAAGGTTACAGTATCGCTTTTGCTAAATGTTTTCTTCTAAAAACATCAATTTTACAAAGTATCTAGCAGATACTTTGTAAGTTACTGCAGAACTAAAATCACTAACGTATCATAATTAATAAGATCAAGTAATTCGTCTCGATTGAAATTCTTTGCTTTTAATCTTTTATTTATTATTTATTTATTTACTTTTCATTTTTTTTTTGAAAGGAAAAATTCATCTAGGGATATTCTAATCTGTGCTTTGGGGAAGTTAAATATGCAATAAATCCAGAATTAGAGGTTTTTTGATAGGTGATCGTAAAAGTGTGGGGCAAATTTTATAGTAAGTAAAATATACATCTTCCTACTTTATAATGATAAAGTAAATGATAAAAGATGTTATGATATTGGAGATGGTATTATAAATAATTAGTACAACGTTATATATTCGCGGAATAATTTTCAAAAAAGTAATTTTAATGGTGAAATAATGGATATTAAATATTCATCGGTTCATTTCAGTTGAGCAATATGATCACAGCAACATTTAACTACAAATGAACTTATCTGCAAACTACAAACAAATATTCAATTAAATACTATGAGAAATATGCACACATGCACAAACACGTACAGGGATTTTGTTTTGAGCATTAAAAATTCAGTGAAACATTCGAAGATGGTTTGTTTAGTAGTTGAGCATATTTAAAAAAATTCAGGAGCAACAGGAGAAGATAATCGAGTTTTTTGAAAATTGAAAGAAATTCCAATACAAATTTCATATAAGGTTTTTGTAAAAAATTTTTTGACGAAAGAAAAATAGGAACATTTAATAATCGGAAACTGGAAATTGTTATTCGAAAATTTCGGAAACGCGAAGGGAAGTTGGGGAATTTGCTAGGATTATAAGGATTCAAGAGCGCGTACATTGAGGATCAGTTGTCGAACAAGATTCCAAGTAATCTTTGCGCTTTGATCGAGAAGATGTGCCGGCTCTCCCTTGAGAAGGTCCAGTTGAGGCAAGAAGTAGTGCGGACATTTTCGGCATTGTAAACAGGATACTAGTTGTAATAGCACACCTGAAGTAAATAATTCCAAAAGATCAATAAATGTTCCTAATATTAAATTTGTGAATGTTTCTGAACTTTATTTTTGAATTTTTTCGTTCCATTTTCAGTATAATCGTTGCCTATAAAAATGGCAAAAAAAAAAAATCAATATTGGTTTGATTTGAGGAAAATACCTAAAACGAATATTGTCTTCTATAACCCAGAATAACAGAATCTATTCTTCCATGTATCATTGTCAGGAAGAGGAATTAAGATTCATTTATAATTGTAATCACTCTAATACATTCATGAAATGAATGATTTTTCTCTTTTCATAATTTGTGCTCATTAGGACTTCCGTCTCTTGAGCTTTATATATCGGGACACATATTACTGATATTTTCTCCTTAATTTTGGTGCGGTAATGTGACAGTGATACTAAGTGTGAATTTCCCGAGTTTTGCGACTTTTGAAAAAAAAAAATATTGTGGCGCAGTGTGTTGTTGTCTCAGAGATGAACAACTTTTTGAGAAATTTTAAATTTTAGATTAGTGAGAGTATATTGAATTTGATGGCTTGATAAAAGTCTTTCGTTTTATAAAATTAAATGGGGTGAAGAAGAAAGTGGTAATCTGTTTTAGCAGTGATTTCCTTTCACGACATAAGGATCAGTCTGAATCAGTAGCGTTTATAATGAATCTGAGTTTTAGACTTTTCTTTTAATCTGTTAAGCTTAATTTCGATAAAACATTTACAAAATACCAATGACTCGATCACCAATAAATCGTTCCTCCCACTCATATTCATTGTAATGCTTCTCACATTCGAACAACAACAACGTCTTTAAGATGTAATTAGTAATTGGTGACTGCGGGAAATCGAGATGCGTGTCGCGTAGACATTTCAAAATTGAAAACGATTTACGTCTGCTGCCGTGTTGCAGTAATGTATTCTCGGCATGGTGTAAACTCATTGCCCATGCGTCACCTTCCATTGAGCTGGCCTGTAATTAATCACCGGACGAACTCACCCAACTAATTGACTTCTTTCTCTTCGTAATGATCCATGTCGGTTGTACATTACAAATTATCTTGCATTCAATAGTCATATCAAGGAATTAATCAAATCTTATCGTACAATAATCTTGATAATTTTAACAAGTTATTAAGAGGAGAAAAATGTAAGGATTGATTGATGCTTCATTATTTTTCTCCTTTATCAAAGCTTAAATTAAAATTTTTCTCATAAGTCTTCTGATAGCTACAATTAGATCAAATATAGTTATATGTCATCCCATTTGGTCCTAGTAGTTAAAGTTCTTAAGCCATCAATTGATGAGACTATTATTTTGTTATTCAGTATTTGTCATTAAGCAGAATGCAAAGATTATCATTCGAGCGCTAGAGTCTTCTATTCCATTATTTTTGCAACATTTAGCGAAATTTTAAGAATCTGAATTGCTTCCTGGAAGCTGTTTTAGTAACATATACTTTAGAGAATGCCCTTTTTTGGAAGAAGGTGCTCATTTGTGCAAAATCAATGACAGGAATGACATTATATGGCGCTATAAATAATGTATTACGGTAGCGTATGAAGTGGAATGTACTCCCCCCGGAGAGTTAATCGAATTAATAAAATGTTCTGCCAGTTTTGAAGGGAGAGATTCATGGTTTAATCGCCGAAACACACACACATACACACACACACACACTTACACGCACACACACTCAGATGGATGTTTGAATTTAATCGATTCCTTTTTTTAAACTTTCCTAAGAAATCATGGAAAATTTAGAAATTTTCTACCTGCTTAGAATTTATGTAAGATTATTTTCAATATAATGAATTGATGGGTTAAGGTGGATTACATCATTTGACGTAGTAATGTTCACAATTTTAAACAAGTTAAGAGCAACAATTTTTAAACAAGTTATGTTTGTTATAAAATAAAAAAAAATTAGAAGATAGAGAATGACATTTGGCTAGTTTATGTTCAGGCTTCAATGTTTTGGCATTTATAGGTGTTCGAGTCTTTTATGTCAACGTCTTTCTTTCCGTTTCTGAAGACAGTATTGTTAGTATGAAATGAAATAACACTATAATGTTGCGTTATAACTTTGTTTGGGGAAATAGAGAAGTTCTCTTAAAAAGCAGTTGCCGAAACAGACCTGTTTATTTGGTTGATTTTGGGCTGCATTAGTTTCCTTGCTGAACAAATCGAAACCTTCACTTTTCACTTCATTAGCAATAGATGGATTTGGCCAAGGGATATTACTTCGAGGCCAGTGACTAGCACTTCGAGGCCAAATTCCATTGCATCGAAATGCACAAGTTATCTGGACAATGTAATCATCGTGTATCCTCAATTTAACATCACTAGTATCAGGTACCATCTTGCAAATATCTCGATATTGCGATTTCTCTACACTTTGTCCCACCAAAGTGTGGAAACGACTTCGGATTTTCCTTGCTGATAGGTAACCGCTTGCGGTAATAAATTCCACCCATAACGACATTGATCGTTTGCGACCATCGCTTAACTTTAGAACTGCACATCCTTGGATAGAACCATCATCGACAAAATTGAAAACTCCCATTTGATTGAGGTATAGGATTACTTCATATTCGCATGGTGAATGAACTATAATCTGAAATTGTGATTATCATCATTGGAAGAAAGGAATATTTTAGAAAAAAAAAACCCCTCTTTATTATTTATTATGATCTCTTTATTATGATCAAAAGTATAGCAAGAGAGTATGAATAATTAATTGTGTGGTCATTTAGTTGCTTACCTGTAGTCAACCATTTAAGGTAATTCTCATCTATTACTTTATATCCGCATATAAATATATGATGGATTAAAACTTCTCAACGATCTTTAGATTTTTAAATCAGAACAAATCATGCAAGAATCAAATTTCTCAGCGTTTAGACTTTCGGGCTATTCCTAGGTGATACTGCATTAATCAGAATAAAATTATATTATTCTTAAGAAATAAAGTGTCCTTTAATTTGAATCAAACTTCTTGACCTTTAGACTTATGTCAGTGGGGATTTATCAAGGATGTTTATCAAGGAGTCATTTTTTTTCTTGATGGTGATACGACGATAGGTTATCAATCTATCAAATTGACACATGAAGATAATATCTGATGGATTGTCAGTCTGACTCCTTACATCATTTTTATTATTTTGATTTCAAAAGGTGAATGTAACTATCTCTTATATAGGGCAAAAAGAATACTGAAATTGAAATGAGAGAGAAAGAAAGAGAGGGAGAGATGTGGACAGAGAAGGACTTGTGAAGTTTAGAATAAAATTAAATTTAATCTATGGTACATAATCGGCAATGTGAAATTGAATGAATGTTTGTTATTCGTTGTGAGATTCCTGAAATTCTAAATTATAATAGTTTTGAAAATTTTTATTTATTAATTTAGAAGATCAAATCTTTGAATCCATTATTGAAACATTGACTTAATGATGATTTGGAATTTTTGCTTACCCCTTCATATCGACCATTATTTTCGATGAGTGTAGAGATGAATCGAGGTTCTTGTGCTTCAACTTCTTTAAGAATTTCCTGAACAATCTTAGCGATCATATAGATTGCTTTGTGTACATGACTTTTTCGAGTTGCTACCCTTTCGTTGAAATAATGCGATATTTGGTAGGAAGTAACGGCAGCATTTTGGCCTAGCATCCTTGCCTGTTCGTTTGCTGTACAAATTGTCGTAGAGCTCAAAAATCATCGCATAACTAAAAACGGAAAAAAAAAGAAGAGGAAGGGGAAAAAAAAGGTAGATAGATATGTTAGTAGGATGAAGTAGCGACTATTAACATATAGCTTTTTTTTTTAAATGATAATGAAAAGATAACAATGATAATGATAACGATATATTAAAATGATTGCTAGTGCTACTGTTACTACTACTATTCCTGCTGCTGCTGCTACTGCTGCTGCTGTCGTTGTTGTTATTTCTCAGTGTTTTTTAACAACTAATTACTGTAGTAGTTTTTTATTTTCTTTTTTTTTTTTTTTTATTTGTTTAAAAGGTTTTG